GGACACCTAAAAACCAAAAAAAAAAAAAAAAAATTATATTTAGTATAGAAGAGATTTTATTAGGTAAAATAATATAGCACAGTAATACTGCGGCTAAATAAAATAGTACACAATACAAGTGCCTCTGAGTGCCTCTATACAAAGTGCCTCTAAGTGCCTCTGCACAAAGTACCTCTGAGTACCTCTATACAAAGTATCTCCAAGTACCTCTACACAAAGTGCCTCCGAGTGCTTCTATACAAAGTGCCTCCAAGTGCCTCTATACAAAGTGCTTCTAAGTGCCTCTATACAAAATACCTCTGAGTGCCTTTATACAAAGTGCCTCTAAGTACCTCTACACGGTATAGCAATTATACTGTTATACTTCTATCTATAGAAAAGTTATAAAAAATGAGCTTTTGCCCCTTCTGCCCAAGTTAGAGTTTACTACCCTCTCATAGAATCTAGCCCCACTCCTTTACTCTTTTCTACTTGTAAAGTGTAATATTTCTCCTCTAGAGTAATTCCTACAGGCAAAGTTATTACTATAAACCTGTTATTAATAAATATTATTATCTATAAACTGTTATTATCTCGAACCATTTGCCTCCTACTGTAAAGTTAAAGTATACACTTTATATCTACCCCATGTATATTCATAAAGTATATCACTGTACCAGGTAATCTTGTTACTTTGCTATATTTATACTAAGAAGGCTATAGTATTGTAACATTTTGGTGCTTTCTGGCAGAAATACTAAAATCTATTCCGGAAATTGAAAGAAAAGCCAAAAGAAAAACTATAAAAATCAAACTTCAAAGAAACTACTTTTGACAAAATTTTTAGTAGAAAAATATAAAATCTTAGAGGATTTTATCAAAGCTTACTAGAAACTATCTCTTTTGAATTGTCTTTGGACTACAACTACTCTTTTGAAAATTACTGCAGGATTGGCTATTAAAAAAAAAAAAAAAGCAATTAGAATTTAAATTATTTTTAAAGGTATAAAAACTACTAATCTATATTTATTTTTTTAAAGCTTGGAGAGTTTATGCTTTACCTTTTGCAAGTTGCCGATATAGTAAAATTGAAATTATTTTTTGTTATTGAATTAAATTAAAATTTTAAAATTTGTTAATTGATGTCATTACTTTTTGTTATAATTGTTTAAATCCTTCTTTGCATACATACTATTTTATTATTATTATATTCCTATTTATTTATTTATTATTTAACTATCATATTTATAATTAACTCTGGAAGATAATTTTCTTTTACATTACTACTAAACTATTCAAAGTTTATTATTTTTATAGGAGATCCTGTAACAGAGTTTCATAACCAGAATATTGTTATCTATCAAGTACAACATCAACTTAACTCTGCTCTTGCTGCTACTGTACTTTAAACTAATGCACCTGATTATTCTTGTATTGAATGTTTTCCACCAAATCATGTTAGCCCTTGACTTAACTTTGGTATTTTCTGAACTTGGCACTCTACTAGTTATCACGCTAAATCCTATACTCGTATTACTCAAACTAATTATAACTAATTATTAGTAACACACGAACCATCAGCTGCTCGAGTTGTTGCTAGAAATATTATTTTTAGTTGCCAATATAGAACAAATATTGGCAGTGCAAGAGATATTGTTGCCACTCTATTTTTTAGATATATACCTTTTTAAGATATTTCTAAAATCAGATACCCTGACAGAAATTACTACAATATTTATATTAATAACCCTAACTATAGAAAATTATATACTAGACCTATCATACATCAGAATTTTTTCCAAACTTTAGAACAATTTATCTATCAAACTCCTCAGCGAGACACAACTATTACTACTTACAACAACTTTAATTTTGTAACTACTATCACTACACAACAAGTTGCAGATAATTTAGACCCTTATAGTAGTAATCGAAGGGAACATAATAACTTACCTTATCAACCTTATCAATCTTCATACTAAAGGGATAGTTCATTAACTATTCATTATACTCGTGATAGAATTCGACCCCAAATATCTTTAATTCATCAATTAAACCCAAATCAATTTCAAGAAGTTCTACTTGATAACACAGCCTATACTCTACTTGTAACCCACCTCCACGGCTATTAAATCTCTAACAAAGAAAAGACACAGACCAAGAAAGTGAACAATCACTAGATAGACTTAATAATTTTTTTTCAATTACCTCCTCTACCTCAAGAAGAAAGAGAGAACTCTAATTCTGATACTATTCATGATGAACCAGAAGTTGATAACCACAAACTTGATGAAGCACCTATTGATAATAATCCTATTGCTAATAATAAAACACTTGTTGATAATAATTCTATTGCTAATAATGAAGCACCAGAAGGTATAGAAATACTAGAAAATATTGAAGCACCTCCTGATAATGAAGAACAAATAAATGCTAAAGAAATGAATGCTGCTGCTCAAACAATGACCAGGTTTGCTGAAGCTCTACAAAGAGGAGGAACTAGTGAAAAGAGCCTTGTCAAAATAGACCTCTTTACAGGAGATAAATTTGAATATGCTAGACAAGCTAATTATTAGGAAGGAGCTCGAAAACTTGAAGTAGCTAAAGCACATATAAAGTGAATTGCTGCTGAATAGATCTGTGGATTTACTGCTCTTCAGCTTATAGCATATAACGATCTAGCAAACCAAGCTACTAGTTTCAAAACTTTATTTACAAACAAGTTTTACACTACTTGACAAAAAGCTATATGGCAACAATAGTTCTTTAACTTTAAACAAAGAAATGATTCAGTTAATGCATATATTGCAAAATTCAAGAATATTAACCGAAAAGTCACAAATTTACCTCCAGCATTTATTTGTTAATATTTTATTCAAGAATTACAACCTGAGTATGCTATGTCTATACAAGCAGCTGGCCTAGATAACATTGATGCTATTATGAATGCTGCCAGAAACTGGAAAACAGAAAAACATATTACTGCTCTAGAAATAGATACTACAGAAGCAATTGCTCAACTTACAGACCAAATTGCTCAATTAAGTATTAATCTTGCCCAGAACAGCAACAAAAACTAGCTTATGTTGCAAAAACAAAACAAAGCCCCTCTAGAAACAAATTTGCTTGTCAATACTGTGGTAAAAAGGAACATTATATAGCCAACTATTATCAAAAAAAATCAGAAGAAAATAGAAACAATAGAAGAAATAGAAATAACAACTATAATCAAAGAAGCAATTA